TCAATAATGAAGAAAGACACGATTTTTCCCGCGAACATGACCGATAAAGACAACTTTTCAACCCATCTGAAGACCTCAACCTACTCTTTATTGTACTTGTCTCGTTGGGGCTTCATCTTTGCCCTCTTCTTTACTTACAATTTCAATAAATTTAATGTGATGAGTTATCAAAAATCATATTTACCATGAGGTTGCATGCCAATGGAGATTTAACCCCCTCCTCTTCTGATAGTTTTTTCCGTTGCACAAAAATAAAGGCAATTAATATTGATAAATTGCATGATCGACATCAATGCCTTAGTCTTAACAACACACACTTAGGAGTTCCTTTTGTGCTATGACCACACATTGCTGTACATCAATGCCTTAGTCTTAACAACACACACTTAGGAGTTCCTTTTGTGCTATGACCACACATTGCTGTTAGCAGCGATATTTCAACTTATATATACATGGAAGGAGATCTTTTTTTTTATAAAACTTACATCAAAACCATTTTGATATATGCCAATACTAACTATCAATTGCCTACAGAAGAGCATAAGTCGTTTCTCAGTGAAGTTGTGGACATAGGACTGAGCATAATTGCTGCTGCTAATTCCATCAGGAAAAGTGACAACGAGAGTTACAAGAGCCCGAATATTTGAATATCTCTAACTACAGAAGTAGGTGGCCGAGATAGATACGCAGGAAATGATTATTACAGTGGAGATGATTCTTCTTCAGGTTCTTCAAGAAACATGTCTTCAGGGACGTAGGGCCAAGATTCGAGAACAACAGCAACAATTACAGCATCTAATGAAGAAACAGCTTCAAATCATACATGGATTATGAGTCGTGAGGAGAGGCTTTTGGAGACCATTGTCACTTCAGGGGGTGTACGTATACAACCCACTCGTGATGCTATCCAGGCTTTTCTCATGGAGTCATTGAAACTTGATCCAGTGGCTATGATTCATGCACTTGAGGTGAAACTCCACTCGCCCCTGTGGCAGCTATGTTGGCACTATCCTGGATCTTTGATGAATTCTGATTGATATTCAAAGTTAAATAGACACTTCTTAATTTAAATAGAGGGGATTTAAAGATTTCATTTGGTTGAGTATATACATATACAAACTCAATACAAAATCAGTTTTTTTCTGTTTCACTCCAATCCCAAGTTTCTAGGAGCAAAATCATTTTTAAACAATTTGGTTTACCTCATTTCATTCTCTTAACATCCTTGGTTTGGAAGTAGAGGGAAGGAGAATAAAAACTAAACTGAATTGTTCTCGTTTGCTAAATTAAGTAGGCTTTATAAGAAAGATGAAGATAGAATAAAAGCTGATTCAAACTGGGTTATCTAATTCTCAATCTTAAACATGGTACTATCAGTTCTAATAACTTGCTGTCGCAACATAAGAATTTCCCGCCTGCTTGAAACAAGATGTCAAATTTATGAGTAGAGTTTTCCGTACTTAGTCTCTAAACTTTTAATATAAAAAAAAAATTTCAAAAAGTTTTTCCAGAAATTAAAAACCACAAGGATGTTGTTACTCTATGTTTACTGTAAAAACTATTGCTGTTATATGTTTGTTTTGTAAGTTTCATATACCAACAGAATATCAGAATTAACATCTGCCATATTAAAACTTGGTCACACTTGCTGTTTATATATAAGGTCTCTTTATCCACAGGAGTTTATATTCCTGCATGGATCTAGAAGGGCTCGCTTCCTCCTCCACCGCCGGAACTACCTCTTATTCTAATTGGACCGGGAACAGGTTGTGCACCATTACGTGCATTTATAGAGGAAAGGGAAATCCAAAATATGAATATGCCAGCAGCTCCTATTATCTTCTTTTTCGGTTGTAGGAATGAGAAAATCGATTTTTTATACAAGGACTTCTGGTTATCTCAAGCCCAAGAGGGAGGAGTATTGTCCACGCAGAAAGGTGGAGGTTTCTTTGTTGCATTCTCAAGAGATCAGCCACAAAAGGTTTATGTTCAGCATAAGATGAAGGAAAGAGCAAAAGAATTTGGAATCTACTGAGTGAGGGAGCTGCAATATACATAGTAGGATCCTCAAACAATATGCCAGCAGATGTGACCTCGATGCTTGAAGAGATTGTTCGGAAGAAAGCGAGGTTTCGAAGGAATCAGCTGCTAGATGGCTAAGATCGCGGGAAAAGGCTGGTAGATTTCACATTGAGGCATGGTCATGAGATTGGCTGGTAAATAAGTTCAAATTTTGCACCTCTTTGTTTCTGAATCAAGATTGTGATTAGCATCTGATACCTGCTGCTGCAAGAAGACACTGAAGAACTTCTGTATGTACCATCGTTGCTGAAAGAATAATTAATTTTTATTTATGTTTATGTTTATTGTATACAATACAAGAGGGTCCCCCTTTATCATAACTTGAGTAGGTTGCTGATAGAGACATACTTCTTGTACACAATACATTTTTCTGTTTATGTTTATTGTACTAATACAAGAATAAGAGAGTCAAAAATTTTCATAATTTGAGTGGGTTGTTGAAAGAATTTGATAGTTTTCCCATCGTGCAAGTCATGCTTGCTTGGCTTGCTGAGCTGTTCGTCTTAGTGTCAGTAAGAATTAAATAGTGAGATTCTATGATTCTATCATATCCTAATGTTTTAACACAGGATAATAGTAAAGTTTATGCAGGCAAACCAAAGTATAACTTAATGTTGTCAAATATCAAAATTATAGTCGTTAGTTATGCGCATGGTCAACTTTTCATCTTTTATTGCCTGATGTAACCTCACTCACTTTGAGATCTAACAACTTTTAGACAAAAAAATTTATGTTCGAAAGATCTAAAATTTACTGGAATCTATTTTTATTTTTTATTTTAAGTTATAATCTGATAAAATCTACATTCAAAGCCCAAAGCATCCAAGACTTATTAATATAGGCACACAAACAACTAAAATCTTATCCTCTGAATCGATAAAAAGAAAAGAAAAGCATGATATTTGTCTTCTGACTGTATAATTTTGTGTATGTGTTCTCAGGCGCATACCACACAAATAGGGTGGGCGATAACATGTTTCATCCTCTAACATTGCTAATTTGCTTTCTATTTGGTTAAAAAACTGTAAGGACGTACATATATCAATGTGCATGCACACTGCACCACACACATGATGGCAGTTCATATATATTTCAGACACACACTTACAGAAGGATATTGTTGGCATTGTTGCCATGTCTCTGCTTATAGACTTTCGGTGCACTTTTGTATAGATTAAATGACAAATTTGTTGAAATAGACTGAAAGGGGTAAATTTTATAGCGTGTAATGAAAACAATTATCTTGCATCTTGTTTATGTCAATTACATCATGAGTTCTGATGAAAATATTGAATGTGAAAGATGACCACTTACATAATAAACCTTTTAGATTAGATATACATTACTTTCTTTTTTATTTCCTTTTTTAATTGAGTGGAGCGGTTCTTTCATCATTTACCTTGGGGAAACTAATGCAACAATTTTTTTTGGTTGACATGAGCTTTGCAGATGGGTTTCCTAATCTTTTTATCAACAATGCCCAAGATATAAGAGGACAGCACGTCGCCTTTTTAGCCTCTTTCAGCTCTCTTGCAATCATATTCGAGCAGATATCAGTAATATTTGAATTGCAGAAACTCTTCATAGCATCCTTCACATTAGTTTTGCCATTCTTTCCAAACGGTTCTTTTGAACGAATGGAGGAAGAAGGAGATGTTGGAAAAGCTTGCTAAGAAAGATGGTGCAATTGCTCGTCGACGTGATATTGAGCAATTATGGAAATTTTACATCAGCTATAAAAGACGACATCGTGTTGATGATATCCAAAAGGAGCAACAAAGATTGCTAGAATCTACAACCTTCAGCACAACAAACTTGGGAGAGTATGTGATGATTTTAGTATATGTACTAACACATTACCTATTACAAAGGCTTAATCAAGCTTCTAATGCAGCTTCGATTTACATCAACATCATCAAACATTACTTTTAGCTATATACTTGTGACAATATTTGATTGGTCGATCACGTTATAGATGCAACCAGTGTACTATCAACCAATCAATCACTAAATGTAATTTCATTGTTCAAATGTTGAATTTTGAGATTATTTCTATATGTTTGATCCATTGCTTACATTTAATAATTTAATAACAAATATTTTCCAAAATAAAATTATACATTTATAATAAATGATAAAAATTTTACCACGTGCATTGCACGTGCAATCAAACTAGTACATATATAAGAGAGTGTATACCTATATATACTTATATAAGAGAGAGTATACATATATAAGAGAGAGTATATATACACACACATATTATACATATATAGAAATATATTATATATACATATATTATATATATATACATATATTATACATATATAAAAATATATTATGAATCATATGTTGCATTAGACTAGACGATGAGATGTCTTCGAGCCCAGACAATCAGATTTTCGTAAAAAGAAAAAAAAAACAAATAAAAATTCCAATAACCTCACTTTTGCAGAAGTGGTCAACATTTGTCCGTTTTGGGTGTTTCATTCTGTGCCTTGTCGTGTCGGGTCGGGCCGGGTCCTTAAATGACCCAATTCAATTAGTAACCCTTTAAGAGCGGTGTTCTCACCGGTCCAGAACAAATTTTCAAAACCAACTCATTTGGAGTTTTTATTGCAAAAAACGACCCGTTTCACATTTATTTAGAGAAACCGACCTGGTTTCAGCACTGTCGTTGAAACTAGGTCGGTTTTTGAAAAAACTTTACGAAACTTCACGGGAGTTGAACTCCCGTGAAGTTTTTTCTCATAACAAAACTTCACGGGAGTTGAACTCCCGTGAAATTTGGGAAATTTTTTTTCAAAAACCGACCCAGTTTCAACCAACTGGGTCGGTTTTTATAAATAAAATAGAAACGGATCGTTTTTTGCAATTAAATCATGAAATGGGTCGGTTTTGAAAATTTGTCCCACCGGTTCACAAAGTTGGGGGAAAAAGGCCATTGTTAGGTTCTCTCTCTCTTTTGAGAAGAAAAAGAAGAAGAAGAAGAAGATGGCTATGATGCTCCGCTCCTTATCGTCCTCCGCATGCCGAAGGGTCCGATCTCTGTCATCGATATCTGGAATCTCATCGCCGGCGATCTCCTTCTCTTTCTCCGCCGCTTCGATTCGAGAGACTTCACCGTCATCGGCAGCGCCTCGATACTTATCATCCTCCTCGGAGAAGGGTCATCATATTCGAGGTCATCTTTAACTGATCGTAGATTACTGGTTTTGTTTTAACTATTTTCAATTTTTGATCGATCTGGTAATAGGGGATTTCAGTTGGATTTTGAAATAACAAGAACGAAGGATTAGTGGAGTAGTTGAGCTATGTTAATTCCTAAGGTATAATGGATCTCATTATAAAATTTTCAACTAAAAAAGAAATTAAATTGGGCTTGCTTTGTTTCATATGAACAAAAAAAAAAAAAAACTTCATCTTAATTTCTCGGAACCGCTACATGAATCCTACTCAGTTCTGTTGAGGGCTATCTCCTCTACTAAGTTAATCATTTTTTATATGCTCTTTAGAAGCTTTGAACCAAGTTCTAGGGTCTACCTCTGGTCATTATTTCTCAATTAACTAAAATCTTATTAATTCTCCTAGTTGGGTGAACTTACTGGCCTCCGTTGTTTATGACTGAACCATTTCAAATGATTCCATTTCTTGACTTTATATGAATGCACTCATTTCTTATCCTATCTCTTATTGCCCATCCACTCGTCTATAAGAAAATTCCCAATTCTGCTACACTCGGTTTTTTGCACAGGTTGTTTCTTAGTTGCCCACCATTCTGAGTCATAAAGCCTTGTGAATCTTATCACTGTCCTTTTGAGTTTATCCTTCAGTTTCATGAGTATGATACGGTCACATAGGACTCTAGAAGCACCTCCTCCACCACTGGTGGAGCCAGGATTTTTTTGGGTTCGGGTGGTTTTTTTTGGGCTTCTTTTTTTTGTTTTTGTTTTTTTTGGGGGGAGGGGGAGGG